TGCAGTCCCAAAGAAAGATATTTTTAAATTGTTTGGTCTCCCAGATTAATAAAAAGACATCCCACATAAAAAGACATGAAGAAATTGTCTTTTAAACTTTAGAATTCCTTCGTCTGGAGTTTTAATCAGAGTTATTATAAAACCATTGGGCCTCTCAGATGAAGATAAGAAGATCTAATAAGTGCACTTTAATTTTCTTTAACAAGTTGTAGTCCCAACGATAGACATTATTAAATCATTTAGTCTTCCAGAAAAATATTTAGAAATAGCATATTATATATAACTCAACCTGGTTATTGAAGAAGCTGCCTTTTAGACTTGGAGCCACTTAGTCTCTTAAATGAAGATAAAAAGATCTGATAAGTGTATATTAATTTTTGTTGTTGTAGAATTTGAATCACTTCATTTTTATTCACAAAAAGATACTTTATTAAATCAATTTGACTTTCAGATGAATATAAAGAGATCTTTTATACATATTTTCATTATTTCTGGAGGGGTTATTGAAGAAACTGTCTTTTGGATTTTGGAGTTGCTTCATATGTAGTCTCAAGCAAAGAGTTTATTAAACCTTCCAGATGAATATAAAGAAATTTTATAACTTTACTTTCATTCTCTGTACAAGTCGGTTAGCCTGTAATCCCGGATAGAAACATGGAATATGATTAATAGACTTTACTTGCTCTACATCAAGGCTATTTATGCACAGTCCACTTTTGATGATGAGCCAACTATGAAACATGCAATAACACAGGCCCCCATTAGTACTGCAGTACGTACACAAATTGTAGCTTTGCTGAAGGTCCAGAAGATCTTCCGTTTTTCATTTGACAAATCTAGATTAGATACGTTTCTATGATCTGGATTAGATAGTGGATTAATAGGCAGTGAGAATGCTACGTTTCTATAGTCCATCTAATATTACAAAGTTAGTGTGGCTAACAGTTTTCTAATCTATAAGTTATTTACCTTTGCAAAGATTAATTCATTTATGATTCTTAACTATTCTCACATTAAAAATTGTATTGAAGTATCGGTCTTATAGCATCCACTGTGCAATCACTTCTATCTTTCTCATCTGATTTATTTTCTCCAATTAGCTTATTTTCAGTAATCCTATAAAGAGAAACCTTGTGATGCGCAATGTTCTTTATCGGAGATCGACATTTCAATATTTTACTGATTTGAGTATTCCATATCCATATGCTTCCTCACAGCCTACAAAGATGACATATTCAAGGATCGAAAGATACCAACCTCTACTAACAAATGCTTTAACCTAATAAAATAACTCAATTTCATTTCAAAAACTTTTCTCTAGTTGTCTGGAGAAGTTTTGCAATTGCAAACAAACAGATATTGTATTTTTTACAATAGCATATGTAGATATAAAAATGTTTATTGGTCCTTTTAGTTGTAGTTGAGCTCATGTATTGTTGTCTTCATTATTGTTATTTTGTTATTCCGCATCTACAATTTTGTTGCTAACGTAACGTTACTTCTTGTATCTTTTCATTTCTGTTTTATGCCTTCAACTGTTTTGGACATGAATGGTGCTAATGGAAAAACCAATCCACCATGAATTAATGGCTCATAAAAGAAAAACAAACAAAATATGTGCAAAAAACGATGTCGAAGAGAAATGAGCGTAAAGTGCAATAAAAATGTGAGGAAGCAGCAAATAAGCAAATATTACGAAACAAGAAAAAAAGAAAACAAAAAGCAGGATTTTAACATCTATAAATTGTTACAAAGGAGTTACTGAATCAGCGAGGATGTGACTCGTAGTGTAGTTTCAGTTTAAGCTGAAACTAATTTTTACTTGAAATATGGTTTTATGAAGTCCACAAAGTGAAACCCAAAGAAACGAAAAGGATATAATGTAAACAAGTAAGGAGGAATGCATGGGAAACAAGATAAAAAGAATATGAACGAAGCTTTCAATTAAACATTACTCATACGCTATGAGGGACGTTAGATATTTTACGTTTTATATTTTCTAATAATTTATTTTAATTTCTACTTGGTAATTTTAAATTATTTCAAAAACTATTTAGGTTTTCTTAGATAAAAAATAACTAAATGAAATAAGAATAAAAAACTTTACACTTTGCTTTGTTTAAAAATTCATTCACCTTTTGTGAGGCGCAACAATGTTAAGTGTTTTTGGCCATTTCCATTTGTAAGACTCGCACTACTTAAGACCAGCAAACACAAAAGTATCTAATGCAAGTTATAGGCAACAAAGGTTGTGCCTGCGAGAATCCTGGCGAGGCAAGGTAAGGAAAACGTAGAAAAGAAAAGAATTCTGTTAAGACAAAGGTGCGCTGGTGTATTACAATATTTATTGTGTAAGGCTGCTACAGGATCAACGCGAACATTACTGGTTGGGGAACTTTTATTATTATTGCTCGTGCCACATGCCCCATGGTACGTTTTAGTGAGAAATTCACTTTAATGCGTTGGTAAAAATAATGAAATTTTTAAAATACAAAAGTACAGAAATAGCAACAAAAGAAAAAAATTTAAAAATAAAACAGGAAAAAACACAAGTAACAATATAAGATTCATAAAAGAAGTCTACGAACTGTGGGTGTTGTTTTGCTGGTATATTTATAATATCAACATATTTCTTTGAGTTATAATTTTATTTTACCTTAAAATTTTTCTTTCATTTATTTTTTTGCTCTTTTAATTTTTAATGTGCGATTTACTACATTATTTCTTGCTTAGACTATAAAATAAAAATAAAAATAAAATTTCAAATTTAAATATCCTCGCTCGCTGGACATTAATCTTCAAGTCAAACAACTCACGTACGTGAGTTTAAAGTCGAAAGCAAAGGCAAAGGCATAGGCGGACGGAAGCGTGCCTAAATGTAGGCAATAAAATAAAAGTAATTTCGTTAGTAATGAGCTTCATTTTAAAAGCTGCATTGAATTTAAAAGCATTTCAATTAAATTAAATTCTCCAAATTAATGCATACAAATTTGTTGTATAATACATCAAAATATCAAAAGATATTCCTTAAAATATTAATCCACACTATAAAAAAATAATATTAATTTGAATAAAATAGATTAAGCACAATAAACGTCAAGTGGATACAATAAAACATAGATAATTTAAAATTTCTTCCTTGGTATGGATACACCTACGGTTGATCCTTGAAAATAATTTTGGACTTCAAGTTATCTATGAATTTTTAAATTAAAAAAATTACATAGAATAATATTTAAATTTCCGCTTTGTGGTTAAATAAATAATTTTATTAATTTGTATATATATTTATATTTATTAATAATTAATTTGCCCATCATTTAAAAATAATAACTTTAAATTATTATTATTTCCATACTACATTAGGAGTTTAAGGAGTCTACAAAAGTTTTCCATAGGTTTCTATTTCCTGCCATTGCTTTTAACTCGTTAAACGATTTGCCCGTCTCCTGCTGAACTGTTCTTCATCAGGTCATTGTTGGTTTAATAAGAATATATAAATATATTTTATAAAGTCGTAATTATACATGTAATTGTAATTATAATTATTTCGATTCCTGGTACTTGAAGTCTCAAAAATAATTATTTACGAATAATTCAATACAAGAATTATATCCATGACCACTGATGGGTGTTTGGCAATACTCGAAACAGCTATATGGTCAGCCAAAAATTCAATTAATTAAAATAATATAAAATGAATTTTTGTTGTTGTAGTTCACTACTGTTTGAAAAACCTCTATAATTATTTACTAAATAAATTATCTTGAAATGACGAGTAAATTTATTTTTAACGGGAGGAGTGAATAAGAGAGGAAGCAATAAAAATTATATAAAATTAATTGAATTTATTCTATGAAAATATAGTAAATGTTTATCTTATAATTATGCATGGATTTTGTTAGTCCTACAAACACTTCAATGGTACAACCAGACAAGAGTTTCAAGTACTCTTTTGTTAAAAAAATGACAGCTAAAAATCGACATAAAAGTTCAGTTTCATTCAGTATAGCTAGGCATTAATAGGTCTTTGAGTAGCTTCAACATTAATATATAGTTAATTATAATTAACAATTTCTTGATATTTTAGATATGTACATTCGATTATGAAATGACTATTAAAGTTGGTTTTAGATACTCTTAGAACTCATGCTCATACTCATTCTCCTACTCTTAGAAGCAATAAACAAGAAATCTAACCAAAATTATAGATTATTTTGCTGCTGTATCGTGAGGATATTACTTTATTTTGCTCTCAGTAACTTTGTGCCAAAAATTTATTCTCTCAAAGGTTTTTAGGTTAGATTTATGTTAGAGTTCCAAATTTTTTTCATCCACACCAATAACATACTTAGTATGATTTAACTCTAGAACAGCTACTTCCGTGTTGCTGGCCACGGGATAGAATTTCCTAACATTGGTGCCACGGAAAAGAACTATCCACAGTGTTGGTCACGGGAAAAAATTATTGCTTCAATGCGATCTGTGTTCTTTCAAAATTTTTTTCATTAGTATCTTAATTTACTTTATTCCACTTGATTTTAACAAACGTGGAATGTCATTAACTCTTCAAATTTTTCTCTCCAGAAAACTTTCATTGCTAATGGGTACATATGAAGTATTGAATAGTATTACTATTTTCAATATTGAAAATGATATTCAAGCAATTAATACTATCATAATTAGGATATTTACCATTATCGGTAACTATCTTCTATCAGTCCAACAAGGGCAGTTTCTGGAAGTGGTTTCTATTAGATTTCTTAAGAATGTCCTAGTCAAATGTATTTTAAATTAATTCAGTCATAAATTTGCGCAAATCTATATTATATCGGGCATGCAATTTTACTTTCAGTTTTACTGGATCCCTATTTTATGTAACGCATCGATTATTTAAAGCTTTGAAGAATATAAGTTAGGGATAGCACTGTCAATAAAGAAATGTAAAATACTTTTTCTTTTATTTAAAATATAAATTTATTAAAAAGAGATCTAATAGAAAAATAAAAATACCATACATTAGAAAATTTTATATTTAAAAGGCTCCAATAAAGGAATCCAATAATCAGCTTCCTCTCGGTTTCTTGGGTTCGGTATTAATCTGAAAAGAAATAATACATATTTTTAGATATAAAATATTCAAATTATTTTATTATTGTAATGTAAATATTGAAAAACTGTTGTAAAAAGTAAGCAACACCTTACAGAGAAATAGAGACCTAATGGTGGAATACTTCCAGAAATGCAAGATTTAAATAAACAATGATAAAATCAAGGCTATATTCATAACACGAAAGGCAGCATCCTCCAGAGGTGAGCGTCGGTGGCACGGAGATACGGTAGGAGGAAAGCATAAAATATCTGGAGTTACTTTTGACAAACGGCTTAATTGGTTTAAACATATGAAACGCAGACGGAATAGTTGCTCTAAAGTTCTACATCTTCTAAAGCCGCTGTTTAATAATAATCGATTCAATCTCAAAAATAGAAAGTTATTATATACTCAAATAATTAGGCTAGCATTACTGTACGGATGTGTAACATACAACAAAGTCTCAAACACTGTCATAAAGCAATCACAGATAGCACAAAATCTGGCTTTAAGAAAACTAATTAAGATTCCTTGGTATATTAAGACAACAGATATACATAGTGATCTAAGGGTCGACTCAGCGAAAAAATATGTTAAGGACAGAATCCTAAAATTATTCACAAAAGTCGATATGTTGCCCAATCCCATCCTAACAAACCTGAAGTCCACCTCAGGGCACACAGTAAGATATGCTGATCTGTGGTCTGTCACCAGTTAAAAGATAAATAAATGATAATAATTTTAGTATAGTTAAAGCTAAGTGTGGGGCAGGGAATAGTCCCCCAACCATAAAAGAGTAAAAGTACGCAATAGCACTTACTCAAACCACAACAACAACATTATTTAATTTAACTACATAAATATACGATTTTATCTATACAAATACTTAATATATAATTATAGTACTTACTATCCAGTATTATCCATTGTACTAAGCATTGTCTTACTTAGTATCGTTTTAGTTCCAGAGACCTAAGTTGCTTAGCCTCATATGCAATTTGCATCAAAATTCTCAATTCTTCATCGAATTTCTTTCCATGCTGTAATTCCGGATCAATGATTCTAGAGCATTCCTTATTTTCGATCCAACCATAAATTTGAGTTTCAGTAACTGGGGCATAATAGGTATTACGTGGTTCCCTTAATTTGAATTCATCTATTTTTTTTGAAAAGTAGGCAGCTCTTTCACTTACATCACTTGTGATCTGCGTCTCATATTTGATTTCATGTGTCAAATGCTTAAGATTTTCCAGCCAGCCATAAGTTTGATTGCTTGTTATTGGTATGAATTTTTTTTCTTCTTCAGGTAGAGAATAATAAACTTTCCTTTTTACACGAACACTTTTACCATCTGGCGAGACATATTCATATTGAGAGTAGAACTTTTCTGTTAAATGCCTCCCTCCAAAGTCTGGATCAAATCGCGGACATGGTTTGCGACATCTTAGTTTTGGGTCCGCATTATTATATAGCGCCATTTTTTTTATCAATTTAAAATGGATTCTAGTAGATAATGTTAAAAATGAACATAAAAATAATTTAATCTTATGTTTAAAAAAATTTTTATATATAATTTGTGTTTTCTGAATTTTCAATACAGTTTAGTATACGAAATATTCTATATGCGATGCTTATGTGATATATTAAACTGTCTGAATGTTGATTGAAAATAAAATTTTAATTTTTAGTTATGGGTATACTATTTTAAAGTAAAAAGTTATCATTTAATAAATTTTTTATTTTTAATATTAAGTCTAATCTATTTTACAAATTCTGTGTCACAGTTATCGTTCTTATCCAACTGTTGTCTATAATAGATCAGTGACAGATTTTAAGTTACTAATGTTATACAAGTTCGTATCAATTTGTGATAAGCAATACAGTATCTCATTTAATATGTTTTCAATTACTTCCTGAGAAGGTTTTCTCTTTCTTTCCTTATCTATCAGTCTCTCTCTCTCTCTCTCTCTCTCTCTCTGTCTCTCTTTATATCTTTATCTTTCTCTCTTTGCCTAAAGATAGGCGATTTAGTGTCTAGAGCACTATTACTCAAGAGTTTCTGTGACCACTTGGGCAGTCCACTGTAACAAAAGCTCCAAGCTCCATTGAATCATGAGCTATTAAGGTGAGCTCAGCATATCTTCCTGATAGAATAAATATCACATTTGTTTTAAGAGAGTACAGTAAGACATTACAGAACTTCAGCGATCTTACTTGATGTATATCTTGATGTACATACAATGTGAAGTCTTCATGAATATTTTTATTTCTGATATACTATGAAGTTCTTGTCATACGTCAAGGGTCATTTCGAATGAGCTTCTACTTATTCTCTAATTTTTTGAGCAACTGATGATGTTAACTGTTGGTGTTAAGGTCTCGTTAAATACTGACATCACAAACATATTATGAGGCTTAAACGACAGATATTGCATTGGGTAGCACAGCTTCTAATTTATACATCATAAAACCATACTACCTTGAGAATTTGCCTTTAAATTTTAATTTTATTATATATAGAGAGTTTTAATCTAAGTTTAATAAGCTAGTCTATTTTTGTAACCTTTAGCTTGAGATTAGCGGCTGATAAACAAATGCATAGCATATGTTACGCTATCATCGTGAAAAATTATCTTAACAGGCATTTGGGACGAGAGTGAAAGGAAAAAGACTATAGACTATGAATCCATTTAATTGATGCTATGGCAAGTACTTTTAGAAGGATTAATGTGCTAATGTATAGTAGTATTTAGACTAAACTCGAACTGTTTGGCAAAGAACCTCCAAGGGAGCAGTGCTGGAATACTTTCTTCTTTTCAGCACTTTTATTACTTTATTTCTTACTTCTCTTATTTGAATTGGTTTAGTAAATATGTTGATTTCTTAACAAATGCAATTAAACAAAACTATTAATGAATTATGTTTTTGTTATTAGCTTTAGTCTCCAGTTAAGGGCTCCAAAAATAGACTGATTTATCAAAGGAAGACGAAAACTCTCCGTATATAATAAAATACGTAGAGCAAATTTACAAGCAAATTATAAACTAATATGTTCTTATGGTTGTCAAATGACGAAACAGTTTTTTATTATTATAAAAAAGGATATTATTTTAATATTAAGTATTATTTGATAAAGTAATATTATACAAATTAGGATATGTCAATTAGTTTGTTTACAGCAGCTGTTAATCTGAAACTACCTCAAGTGCATTTAGCGATTTCTACTATGGAAAATTCTTGTTATACCCAATTTTTTGACCAAATACGGCACTACCGTCATCGCTCAGGCACCATATTCGCCAGATCTGGATCCGTGCGACTTTTTCCTGTTCCCGAAACTCAAATTGCCCCTTAGTGGTAAGCGTTTTGAGTCAATTGATTCGGTAAAAGAGAATTTGCCGAATGAACTAAAAGCCATACCTGCACGGGCCTACGAAAAGTGTATAGAAGATTGGGTTAAGCGTTGGCATATGTAAATCGCTTCAGATGGACCATATTTTGAAGGAGATAAAATAAATTTGGAATAAAATTTAAATTTGTACGGTTTATTTACAAAATCCGGGTACTTTTTGAGCTGGAAGTATATTTTGTAATGAGAAATAAATGTACTGTCAGTAGAATAACATCGTAATGTCAATCATCTATCTGCAAATTCCAGTTGATGTTTGAAATCTTATATTAATGACTGCTGTTGAAGTAATATACAACCTGTTGATATGTAAGTGTACAAACACATTAAATACATCTAACTTTTATTATCCTTTTTCTGTTGAAAATTCACATCATTAAAAAGTAACTCGAGCATATGATTTCTTGTATGCAAAAGGATATAAAAATCTCATCTTTCACTCTCATTCACATTCATATATTTATCTTTTTACATAATAAACACACATTCAATAATATTAAATTTGCCTTCAATGAAACTAACTACTTGAATGCCTGTCCGTTGCTTCAGTTCTCGAGAACATTCCACCATCCGTTCGTCCCTCCATCCGTCGCTCGTCCCTCTGCTGGGGCTATATATTGATAACTTACGCAACTTCACAGATTTCCAACCACATGAGCATGTAATTTCGATTTGAAACAAAATGTAATGTAGTTTTATGCATTAAATAGAATTTGAAACGAAATAATATTTTGTTTGCTTAGTTGGTCAACACCGCCCAGCTATCTATTGTAGCAAGCGTCAACATGAAAAGGATAACAAGGATAACAAGACTATTATAACTTGAAGTACGAAAAAAAAAAAAATATTATATGTGCGATGTGTGGAAATACAAAACTAACCCAAAAAACAATGCGAAACCCTAATGAAAATGTTATGTCAAGCGGACAGTGATGAAAAGCTTGGCAGGCGTTATGCTACTTTTACACAAATAAACACAGGGATGTACATTCCTCCACACAAATAAATCCAAACACATATGTTCGCATACATATACATAACATCACACAAAAACACTTTGTATGTATGTGGTACACTCATTGTTATTTATACGATTTTAAGATAGTTTGTTTGTTGTTGAGGCAGAATTGTTTTTGTTGTTGTTAGTGTTATTGTAGTTGCTTTGTTATTGTTGCTTGTATTAGTTGCCACTTATCCTGAGGGAACTTTACTCATACGCCATATTGTCAACCGAACACAATAATGAACTTGATTAGTTTTGACAGCTTTAAGTGGATTTTATTTGTTGTGCGCTGTTGGCTTACTTAACAGACTTTAGTGCTTCGTTACTTTTAACATTTTTATATTAATTTTATATTTTACTCCATATACGTCAGTATATAATATGAACTTTACTTGTTGTGAAAGTTCATCTTTCATAATAATCATCAATATAAATCCTTAATGACATGGCAAGAAATTATTATTATTATTATTATTATTATTATGTGCTCTACCGAGAGTGAGTATAAATTCTCATCTTTATTGCGAATAATTTTGGGCCAATTTAAGCCTATGCTTCAATGCCACGATGCTCAATGGGAATGGGTTGCCATTACTAAATGAAATTTCTTAATAAACCTAATTGAATTAATACAATTTAAATAAATATATCTAAATAATTCATTTTTACTGTTATTATCATATTTTCAAAAAGAATAGTGGAACAGGGCAACTGACATATGAAAGGTTAGGTTCAGAGATACCTTCCTTGAACATGGGTTACTAATTTAAGCAGAAGAGAGGTTAAGATCATTTGAAGCAGTTGTTAGTTCACTTTTTTATTTTTTTATAATTAATAAAAAGGCTAAAGTAAAAAAGAAATTAAAAGAAAGCTTAAAAACTTCTTTTTATTTTCAATTGTTATATATAATTGTTTAGACAGATGAAAATACTAGGATCAATTTCTGACAAACACAATGCATGAAAATAAACAAATAGCTCTTCACAAAATCAATAGGTATTAATATAATTTAATCCCAACTTTGTTAATAGAGCTATATCTTGTTTTAAATACTATTAATAAATAAAGTTAATAATTTTAAAGTGCAATATACTAATTTTTTAATCATATTTGTTAATCTCTTAAAAACTTATAAAAATAATTAAATTGAGTATTCAAACTATTTTATAAGAACTTATGCCCATCGTCATTGAATCTCTTTAATAAAAATTAATTACCAGGCGGTTCCCATTTTAATGCCTCAACGTTCTATTCGGAGCCCTGTTAGTTAAATATAACGATATGAAGGTATTATAAAGTTAGTAATTTGTTGCTTTTCAGAAGCACTAAAATAGTTTATACAAAGAAGTTTTGTTAAGAATTAATATTTTTTTTAACATTATAAATTTTTTAAGCTGCTTATAAATATTTTATTTTTAAGTTAAAATCACTAAAACTAAAAATGTATGTATAAATATTTCAGCAAATTACAGAGATTAATGATTTAGGGACATCACTTTGTATTGATATATTAAGGGGACCAACTAAACTTAACATATTGCTTAGTTGTATTATGCTATTATAATTCTCATTATGTTTGGTTTATTATATCTATAAGATGTAAATCAGTTATATATACTTATTGTCTTTTATTTTAATAAATTATATATTCTCTAATTTAGAGCATACATTGTACTACGATACAACTCGGGCTAATAATAGCTTATATAGATTTGAGGGCTCACAAGTAGAATTAAGAATTTGTATTAAAGAAGCATTGTACCAGTAAAAAGAATTAGAACCATTAAAAGTCATTGCGGATTTGTGCTGTGCATAACTGCAACTTGAAGGAAACATTCTTATAAATGTGTTTATGCCTATTATATTGTTATAGTAGTGAGGGATATTCGTAAATATTTTTAAAAATAGATGAAATGAAGTGATTTAGTTCATCATTATATTCTGAATAAACAATACTGCAAATATTTATCACTATATATATAAAAATTAAAAAAAAAAATGAGAATTTTGAAATGTATGTATGAATTCCAGCTGTACTACTATATCTACAAAAGATTTCTATTATACAAAATAAAACTTAAACAAAAAGTAAATTTAGTTTATATGCATAAAAAGCGCTCACACTTATCTA